CGTTTTCACTTGTTTATTTTTTTGCTGTTTTTCCTTCTTAAGTGTAAAGTGAATTGACTTTTCTACAATGAAAAACAATTTTGATCTATATTTTATATAATATGACATGAAGGGAAATCAGAATGGTGCAAAAATGGTATTTAAAAAAAAAAAAAAAAAAAAAAAAAAAAAAAAAAAAAAAAAAAAGACATGGTCACAAACAAATAGGAAATAAATGAATAAATAATTGTGTGAATTTACCCCCTTTAGACAGGTAAACAGTTACAGGTTACCAGTATGCATAATGTGCATATATACAGTGTGAATGCGTGCGTCCATGTCTGTGACATACATATTACAGTTCATAACAGTCCTTTTGGTGGCCACAAGGTAAAGTGCTTGGGAAATGTAGACATGCCCTTTTAGGATTAACAACCAGGCTCAGGCAGGAAGAGGTACAAGTAATAGGTCGGATACTGCTGGAGCCAGAGAATGTCGTTGCAGTGCAGAGGGTTCTCCTCGGCATTAATGTAGCCGTCAAAGTCGCTGCTCATGACAGTGTCCAGGATCGGCTGCAAGGAGGAGGTTTGAGTGTCAGTTGATGGATGGATTAACTGATTTGGAGAAAATTATTATCCTGTCACCAGTTTTGCTGTGGCCATGCATGGAAATAGACAAGTTACTGTAAATCAGGATTTTCTCACCGTAAAGATAGTCTCCTCGAGATCGGGTAGGTAGTTATAGGAAATGTCCAAGACTGCTGGCTGTTCCTTACTAAATGCCTCTTCTTCAATGGAGTTTATGCAGTTGTAGACCAGGACAGTCTTGGCAGATAAGTAAAACGTATTTGCATTGATTGTCTCTAATCTGTTGAGTCCAATGTCAAGCACCTGCGAAAAAGCATATCCTTGTATTCTGTAAATCATTTGTAATGTAGTTATATTGTGATATGTATATAAGAAATAAGTTAAAACTGCCTCCATTCCAAAAGCTTATGACGGTGAAGAAAAATAAAACTTACTTCCAAAGCCGTTAGACTTGCAAAAGCCATTGGAGAAACGTCTGTAATGTTGTTGTTGTTTAGGAAAAGTTTCTGTAGCTTAGGAAGATAGTTAAGGACAGGGATGCTGGAGAGACTGCTGCCCTCAATTGTCAAGGTCTTGAGACTTGTGAAGTGAACCATCTAGATGAGGGGGAGAATATTCTTACTTTTAGGTGATTTTCATAGCTCGCCCATTTCTCTCTCTCTCTCTCTCTCTCTCTCTCTCTCTCTCTCTTTCCTCTCTCTCTCTCTCTCTCTCTCTCTCTCTCTCTCTCTCTCTCTCCTTACTCTCTCCTTTTTTTTATTATTATTATTTCTCACTCTTTCTCTCGTTCTCTGACTCGCTCTCTTTCTCTCTCCCTTTACCCCTCCCCCTCCCCCTCCCCCTCCCTCTTCTTGTCTGTCACTCTCTCGTCTTAAAAAATGAAATCCACCCAAAATCTTGCAATAGTAAATCATTCCATTCCTACCTGTTCGAAGGGAAAGTATCGAAGATCAGGGTTATACCGCAAGGAGATTTCCTCAAGTGTCCCCTCACTTCCAGCAAATGCATTGGCTGCTATACTTTCCACGTGGTATTCTCAATATCTATCTTGATGAAAGAAACTCCACAAAGAGGTTGTCTGTGAGTAAGGTTTGGTTCTGCACTGAAGGGAACTCGTGGGATTTCATCATGAATGTGTGGTACCTACCAAGAAGAACTAATTTTAAAAACATGAAAAAGAAAGCAAGAGTGTTACTCGTGTGATTTTTTTTTCTTTCTTTCTTTCTTTCTTTAAAATTAAATTGATTTAGTAAAGCTGATTTTTTATTCATTATTAATAGTGATGTATCTAATCAAAATTAATAAGCATTTAGTTTGTGATTACCTTGTTGTAGGAAAAGACACTGTGTGAAAGAGTTCCTGCAGTTTGTTCAGATTGGTAACAGCAGAGCAGTTTGATGACCAAGGAGCATGGATCGCACTGGCAGGGCAAGAACGCCTCACCTGTGAAGAAAGGGATTTTTGTTGGGATTTGTCCTCTTTTAGTATATCTGGGATATTCATGAAATGCATGGTTTAAGAAAACTGAAAAGTCTTGCAGCACTCACTTGGTGGACACATGTTGGGGCAGGTTTGGGAGGTATTTTCTGTACTTAGAGGGAGCTTTTGTTTCAGCTCATTCAGTAGCTTCCTCAGGGACTCAGGGGTTGTCTCAGAAAGATTGTCTGACTTTCCAGTGACTTTCCTGACATGTGATACTTTCTCAGGCACTTTCCTTGATGCCCAGTTAGAAAGGACATCATGAGGCCGCACAGCCACGCCACCTTTCTCCGTAGGTGTGTCTGTAAGGAGTTTACTTTGTGGATGAACGTTTATCCCTCTTGAAGATGAAATGCACTTGGAAGGCCAATCTTTGGTGTCACTCCTCAGATGCTGTCGAAGAATTCAACTTTGTTCTGAGCATAACTTTTCCAGATGGGGGTGGCAAATGGGTGAGGATCCGAGTGCTTTGCCTTCTCTTGCGTTGCTCTTTCAGGAATCTTCAATCCTCCACACGCAGAAATGGTCACCAAAATGTACAGCAAGGTTTTCGTATCCATACCTTTAATGAATTCAGTGGTACTTCTAGCAATACCAAATGAAATGGTGTGAGCAAAATGTAACAAAGCTCCAATGTGGAATGGAAACTAAGAATGCATAAACCCTGTGGAGAGAGTGTATTTATACACCTGATAATATAGCTGATGTCATGATTATACGTTAGTGGATGATAAGGCCACCTTTACCCTATAACCCAGTAATCAATTATCATTCATTGGGATAATCTAATCAGAACTTACCAAGAAGATGGTTATCACATTGACTGCATTTTTACTTGCTAGAATATTTTTCTTCAAAAACCTAATCATTCTTTATTTTTGAAAGTTTTGCAAGAAGGGAATATTCAGAAAAGGCTACCAGAAATTTTATATTGCAAGTGTTTGCAGTGTGTGCCTATTTAACTTCCCATAATAGGTTCAGTCTTATAAAAAATATATGTGCAATAATGATTGACAGTACCTGTGTATTATCATTAAAAAGGAAAAAAATTGTAAGGGTACACATGTTCTTCCTGTCCTTTTCACAGAACAGTATTTATGACGTCCACAGAGGAGAGAGGAAGAGTAACACTCCTTTTTATCTCGTACATTTTGCGTCAATTAGTGAGCAGTGTTTGAAAGCTGAGAAAGTATTTAGATAGTCAGCTGTTCTTCCTGTCCTATTTGGTGACAATATTAATTAAGATTGGAACAAGGCATTTCTTGTCCATTCTAGGAAAAGTGCTCCCAAGCTTTGAGAAATTAATACACTACTGAAAGCTAATTTTACCATTTCCATGTGTAAAATTAATGGTATTTGTTATAGATCACAGAAGATTGTGAATCAGATAGGTCGATAGAGTGCGGAAGACAAAAATAGCGAAACCTTGAATTTCTTGATAGTACTAGTATATTACATGTTTCGGTTGCCATGTTACTTATTGCATAAAGTGTTGTAATGGTTGGCTCTCCATCTCTCTCTCTCTCTCTCTCCCTCTTTCTTCATAAAAATACTTTATCTGCCAGTAGTGTTTACAGAGTTACTCTGGCGCCAGCTCAGAGATAAGACCATGATAGCAAGTTCGTTTGCTGTGATATGGGATAGCCTATATTTAGTACATATTATTATGAATTGTTATGATCAGCTCATTTAATCTCTGTTAGTGATCAAGAGACGTCAGGCACCACATGTTAGCATTTGAATAAGTATTTTTGTATTGGACAGTGGTGACATGGGAGAAACTTTTTTTTTATCTGTATGTGGAGATTAAATAGAGTGCAGATATTATTGTTTTTTTTCGATTGATCTGATAACAGGTTTTCATTGTTTGGTTAAGTGATTCACATGTTTTGATTTCAGTCCTGTTTTTGTATTACGTAAGGTGTGTGTGTGTGTATATTTATATATATATGACTCATTTTCCTGTTGAATGGTTTGCTATGATTTTCTTCTTTATTGTTATCTTGGTTCTGTGTTCTTTGTTTTGTTTGTCTTTCCTGTCTTCTTTCTCTCTTCTCTCTTAGACATCTCCTTTTTCCTTTCAGCTCTTCTCATTTTCTTTCCTTTTTCACCTTTTCTAATTCTTTCATTTCCTTCACCTCTTTACTCGTCTGCCACGTTCTCGTTTTGCACCTCTTCAATAGAGATTTTTTCCCCCCCTTAAATACGCAGATACTTGAAACTTTCCCAAGAGAATTACGTCAGAACCAACAATGTTAAAGATATTATAGTAATTAAACTTCAAGGACAGATAAGATAATACTTGAAGTGAGGCGAGAAGAGATTGTAATGACGGTGGTGTTCATGATGATGATGAGGGTAATGAATAATTATATGGAAGGCCCGTGAAAGGAAAAGTGGCCTTTACACTAGCATGAATACGGATTGATGGACGGGACTATGAATGGATGCAGAGGAAGTAACCATTCTCAGAGTAATGCAATTTTTTATTTTTATTTTCTATTCTTTTCTTTTCCTTTCTTTTCTTTTCTTTTCTCTTTTCTTGCTGTTGCTCTTGTAAGGTTCTAGTGTAACAAAGAAAAGATACTCTGGGTTGGAGTTCAAATATTTGTATGTGGCTGGATAAAAGTACCTGGAGTTAGAAATATTATAGGTTTTAAGTTCCCTGTATTACCTGCTTCATACCTCCACTTGCTGTATATGACATGTTCCCCCCCCCCCATTTTACCTCTAAATAGATAGATAATATATATGTATTCAGTAGATAATTAGTCATTGAAAGAAGAAAAAATCATGTGTCTCATCTTCATGCTACATTCCATTATAGTAAATACTTCTTTCTCTTATTTCACCTTACAGGGAAGGCATACTTTTTGGCATGGGCAACCCCCTGCTGGACATCTGCGTCAACAGCAACGAGGACTTCCTAAAGAAATACGACTTGGAGGCCAACAATGCGATCCTGGCTGAGGACAAGCACATTCCCATGTACAAAGAGATGGCAGAGATGGAAGGTGTGGAGTACATTGCCGGAGGAGCCACACAGAACTCCATGAGAGTAGCACAGGTAAGAGGGGTACATTCTGTATGCACTCTTAACTATTGTGATATGGTTTTTGTTTTTTGTTTTTTATTTCATGGTATCGTGTCTTTTCTTATTTTTTTCAGCCTTCCACTTTTTTCACTAACTCTTCCTTCTTCTCCTCTCTCTCTCTCTCTCTCTCTCTCTCTCTCTCTCTCTCTCTCTCTCTCTCTCTCTCTCTCTCTCTCTCTCTCTCTCTCTCTCTCTCTTCTCTCTTCTCTCTCTCTCTCTCTCTCTCCCTCCCTCCCTCCTCCTCCCTCCCTCCCTCCTCCCCCCTCCCTCCCTCCCTCCCTCCCCTCCCTAATATTACACAATGACAAATTTTCTCTCATAAAGATTAATTATCAGTATGAATCATCATTTCCAAGCTACACTTTGGAACTTCACTGGGGGCGGGGGTGGACACAGATTAAGAGTTAGTATCAGCCAAAGCCTTTGAACTTAGTGGTGATATCTGTCTGTTGATAAACGAGATGAAAGGATTAGACTGTCGAGGGAGAGCCGTCTAAGTAGAGGGCTTGGACTTCGCGTCATTAGTTACTGGATTTTTTTTTTTTTCCTCCTGTCATACTCTCCTTCTCTCTCTCTTTTCTTCTCTCTTTCTTTCTTTTTCTCTCTCTCCTTCTTTCTTTTTCTCTTCTCTTTCTTTCTTTTCTCTTCCTTCTCTTCTTTTCTCTCTCTCCTTCTCTTTCTTTTTCTCTCTCTCCTTCTCTTTCTTTTCTCTCTCTCCTTCTCTTTCTTTTTCTCTCTCTCCTTCTCTTTCTTTTTCTCTCTCTCCTTCTCTTTCTTTTTCTTCTCTCCTTCTCTTTCTTTTTCTCTCTCTCCTTCTCTTTCTTTTTCTCTCTCTCCTTCTCTTTCTTTTTCTCTCTCTCGCTCTTCTCTTTCTTTTCTCTCTCTCCTTCTCTTTCTTTTTTCTCTCTCCCTTCTCTTTCTTTTCTCTCTCCCTTCTCTTTCTTTTCTCTCTCTCCTCTCTTTCTTTTTCCTCTCTCTCCTTCTCTTTCTTTCTCTCTCCTTCTCTTTCTTTCTCTCTCTCCTTCTCTTTCTTTCTCTCTCTCTCCTTCTCTTTCTTTTCTCTCTCTCTTCTCTTTCTTTCTCTTCTCCTTCTCTTTCTTTTTCTCTCTCTCCTTCTCTTTCTTTTTCTCTCTCTCCTTCTCTTTCTTTTTCTCTCTCTCCTTCTCTTTCTTTTTCTCTCTCTCCTTCTCTTTCTTTTTCTCTCTCTCCTTCTCTTTCTTTTTCTCTCTCTCCTTCTCTTCTTTTTCTCTCTCTCCTTCTCTTTCTTTTTCTCTCTCTCCTTCTCTTTCTTTTTCTCTCTCTCCTTCTCTTTCTTTTTCTCTCTTCTCCTTCTCTTTCTTTTTTTCTTCTCCCTTCTCTTTCTTTTTCTCTCTCTCCTTCTCTTTCTTTTTTCTCTCTCTCTCTTCTCTTTCTTTTTCTCTCTCTCCTTCTCTTTCTTTTTCTTCCTCTCTCTTTCTTCTCTCTCTCCTTCTCTTTTCTCTCTCTCTCTTTCTTCTCTCTCTCTTTCTCTCTCTCTCTTTCTCTCTCTCTTTCTCTCTCTCTCTCTTTCTCTCTTTCTCTCTTCTTCTCTTTCTCTCTCTCTCTTCTCTTCTCTCTTTCTCTCTTCTCTCTCTCTCTCTCTCTCTCTCTCTCTCTCTCTCCTTCTCTCTCTCTCTTCCTCTCTCTCTCTCTCTCTCTCTCTCTTCTTTTCTCTCTCTCTCTTCCTCTCTCTCATTCCTCTCTCTCTTATTCTCTTCTCTCATTCTCTCTCTCTCTCTCTCATTCTCTCCCTCCCTCCCCCAATTTTACATGTATACTCTGTCTTGCTTTCTTCTCCAGAATACCAAATATTCATACCATTCGATAGCTTCATTTCCAAAATCTCTGTCTCACGAACTTCTCTAATGTGATGTATTCCTTTTCAACAATTTTTTCCTGCCGACCCTCACCAGTCTTGCTCTCTTCTCCAACAGTGGATCCTCAGAGAACCGAAGTGCGCCACCTTCATGGGATCCATCGGCAAAGACGAGTTTGCAAGACGTTAGCGAAAAAGGCCGAGGAAGCGGGCGTTGTTGTGCGTTACCAGAAGCAGGACGACCATTCCACAGGTACGGGGTTGGCCGGTGTGGCTGGAATACAAGTTTAAGTATATTTTCTCTTTTAGATAGTTTTGGAATTTTTACTTGTTTATCTATTTCATTATTGTTTTTATTATTATTATTATTATTATTATTATTATTATTATTATTATTATTATTATTACTTTTTTTTTCACTTGTATTTATGTAAGTTGCCTGTTGCTTTGGCAGGTAATTACCTCTGTATGTAAATTTTGCAGGTTTATTAATTCTTTTTCTCTTCTTCCTTTTCTTCTTTCATTCTTCTCTTTAGTGAGTAGTATCAGTGCTTAAGCCTACGATTGCTTTCTGCACATTACAAAACATTTTTAATTGTCTTCTTTATATTGTTTTTTGCTTTCCTTATTTTTCACATCCTTTTTCTGTGCATATTGGCAAGTGCATTTCACTTTTGTCTATATTTTTATATGTACATTTATTAGTCTTAGATAAAACTTTTTTTTAACAGCAAAAATTAATGGCTTTTCTTCCCTTCAAATTAAAAGAAAATGAAAAAAAGTAAACTTCCTGCTTCAATTTTCTGCATTATGATGAATTAAGTGATAACACTAGTTTTGAGGCCCCTTCCAACCCCCAAAAAACACTCCCCTATACCTCTTCCCCCCTTCTCTTTTTCCTTGTCTTTCTTTTTCTTTCTCACTTGCCCTCTATATTCTCTGTACTGTCTCCTCTCCTTTTTTTTGTATCTACTATTTTTCTTCTCCTTATTCCATCTATTAGTTTTTTGGTTTTGTTTTTTTCTTTACTTTTCTCTTTTCCTTCTCTTATTGTTTATCTGTTGTGTTACTCTTTCCCTACCATTTGCTTTCCTCTCTTCAGTCACCCAGTCATCCACCTCTCTCTCTTATTCTCCATTTATGTTTTTAAGACTTCTGAGGGCTTGCTAAGGGATAACCCCATGTTCTTTCTGTCACCTGATTTTTTTTTCACTTTCAACAAATAAGGGAAGAATTTTTACCCACTTTGTCAGCACTTATGTTTATTATAAACATTTTGAGGCTGGCCATCCCAAAAATATAACAAAGTGGATGTCTGCACCCCTCTCTTGTTGTTTTTTTCTGTTGGCAAACTTCTCCCCCTTATTCAGATATTATAAGGTATGCCTTTATTCACCTTACTCTGCCTCACTCTCCCTCCCTCATGCTACACAACACCAAGTCTCGTACACCGTCATGGCCTGCCCACACGCCCTCTCAAGACCTCAGTTGCTTCAAGGTCCAGTCTGCCAGCATGCACCTCTCCTGAGCCCAGTCCTTTCCTCTCCCCTGCAGGTACATGTGCTGTAATTGTGACAAAGAGTGGAACATGCAGGTCACTTGTAGCCAATCTTGCTGCCGCCAATCACTTCACCAAGTCCCACCTGGAAATTGCCGAGAACAAAGCCCTTATGGAGAAGGCCAACTTCTACTATATCTCAGTGAGTTCTAGGGGCTTTCTAGTCAGGTTTTACTTGAAGTTTAATTATTAGTTTTATTAAGTACTGTATTTATATATATTTGTATTTTTTCTTTGTAGCTCTGTTTATCTTCATGATTTTGGTTCTTTTTACAAAGGTGTATGCTAAAGAGCTCCTATAATTTATCAGTTATTGATTCTGGATAGTATTTCTTCATGATAGAATTATGAAAAACAGCAGCAATAACAAAATTTAAATTTGCTTCAGTCATTCATTTTGCTTAATCACTTAGGTGAAAGTAGCATGTACAATTTCTTCATTGATCTGTTTAATTTTTACTTGAGACATCTTACTTGTCAATCATTAAGAATAATTTGCCCAAACTATATATGAAAGCTGAATATAGTACAAAATATGGAAATTGTCATTCTCTGGATTATGTATGAACCAAAAACAACTTTCCTATCCTGTGTGCAGAGAGCTTAAACCTGTGCTGTAATGGATTGGACATTCATTATATCAGCCATCAATCTAAAAGTCTTAACTAGCTTGTTCTTTTCTCTTCATAATGTCCCTTCTCACCCCAAGGATTCTTCCTCACTGTGTCTCCCGAGTCAATCCTGATGGTGGCGAACACGCCTGAGAGAACAACAAGGTGTTTTGTATGAACCTGTCAGCCCCATTCCTGCAGTTCTTCAAGGACCCATGATGAAGGCCTTCCCATACATTGACATCCTCTTTGGAAATGAGACAGTGAGTTGTGGTGGTAGTGTTTTTTCTTTTAGATTCTTTTTGTGTATATATGTTCTGCTGCTGTAATTTTTTTTTTTGAGTGGTGGATTCTTAACCCTGTGCTGCGGGTGGCGTGTATATATGTGCCATGCCCACTGTGAGTTTAGTTTATTGATTGTCATTGCACATAGATGGCCCTAAAGGTAGTAAATCATAAATGATCCAGTGACGAGTTTTACCTGTCTCACCTGTTTACCCTTTTCCTTGATTTTCAGAAAGATTTTCTTGTGTAGCATAGTGCTATTAGTAATGTAATGTCTATAATAATAAGTATTGATATTCATATTATTAGGAAAAAATATATAATAAGTCCAAAAACTTAAGGAAAAGTAAAACTAGGTCACAAGGTGTTATTAGTGGATTCCTTTGTGGCAAAGCTTGAGGAGGCATCAATGTGTAGACACATCTCACAAAACAATACAACAGTGAACACTATTTTCTCAGCAGCATAGGGTTTTTGGACAATTTGGAGAGAAACCTTTCATCTTATTTGAGGCTTCAATATAACTTCATTTATATCATTAGAGATTGTAATACGAAATATCAGTGTTAAAATACTTTTGTCTGTTCAGAGCTAGGATGTATACTGCAGGATTCTTCATATTCAATATGACAACAAACCCAAAGGGGATGAGAGATTTGCTAAGTTAAAAAAAATATAAGAGAAATGTTCGCCCATTAGAGTAAATTTTTATTTTTAATCCAGTCTGAATGCCTAGTTAAATCCCAATCATATTTTGAGATTGTGTAATTTCCCCTTCCTCTGTACAGTTGAATAATGTTTGTAAGACATTTAGAAAAGTTCTCTTTAGAAATTCTTTGCCATATGTGTAACTCATTGTTATTTTTCATAATTTACAGGAAGCTGCCAAGTTTGCAGAGATCCACGAATTTGGTACAACAGATGTAAAAGACATAGCCCTTAAGACAGCTGCCTTGCCCAAGAAGAACTCCAAGAGAGAACGTATTGTTGTGTTCACTCAAGGAGCAGAGGACATTATCGTAGCAAGAGGTTAGTTGTATTTTCATTGTTTTGCTTCTGTGTTTTTCTTTTACTTATTGTCCATTCTCTTCCACTTCTTTCATCTCTCATTTCATTGTCTTTTTCCATTTTTTTCTTCTTCTTTTTCCCTCTTTAGTATTAATATGATGAGCCTAAGGTTTCATTTTAAATTTTTTTCATGTGACTGAAATTCTGAACATAATTTAGGGTACACATATACCAGAGGAATAAAGATAAAATCACATTACTCTTTGACATTTTCCTGAAGTTCAGAGTGAACAATATTGAATTTTTCTAAAGATAAGAGTGAACAGAATTGATGCTAAGGTATACCTAATTTTTCAGGTGGCAAGATCACACAATTCCCTGTAGTCAGACTCCCCACTGAGAAGCTCATCGACACAAATGGTGCTGGTGATGCTTTTGTCGGAGGTAAGCTTTCCAGAGTGACTGAAGTTGAATAAATTTACATAAAGAAAAAAAAAAACTTTGAAAATTAATTGATAATAAAATGTTCAGGTTATGTTAAGGGCAAAATTGATTTTGCTGATTTTGAAGCTGCCGGGAAAATATTTTTGGCTTATTGTTGTACTGTTGCTAGTGGTTAAGAGCTGTGTAAGGCAAGAAGTACTTGTATTTATTAGTGAAAAATGTAACACCACACTGGACAGGCAGGACTTACTGTTTATCATCTATTTTTGCCTGCTGTTATTTGCCTTCACCCTATGTTGGAATGACTAGTCACACTTAACCCATTCGTCCGGGTGTCACATATATGAGACACCGGGAAAAATAAACAATGCTGGGCTGACCGCCAGTGCGATGCTGTCTCGGGGCAGCTTCACATGGTGGCCATCTTATTTTTTTAACTTTGCGGTTTTATCTCTTTGAATCATTCATTTACCTTTTTCCTTTTTTCTTTTTTCTTTTTTTTTTTTATATTTATCAAGTTTTACATTTATTTCACATTCTCCTTCCTTTCCTTGCAGGCTTCATATCCCAGCTAGTCCAGGGGAAGCCTGTAGAGTCTTGCATAAAGTGCGGCATATGGGCAGCCACCGAGATCATTCAGAGATCCGGATGCAGTTTTCCAGCAGATCTCCACTATACTGAATAAAATGTCTGTTCTTTGGCTTAGATTTTTTTCTATCTTTTTTTTTTTTGGTAAATATCTAGAGGCCAATAAACCCTTAGGACTCTGATAGATAAATATAGAAAATACTTTCTTAAAATGAGGGCATTTATGTTATTTGTAAATGCTACTTGTGTTTTTATTGTTCCTTTCAAGGCAAAGTTTTGAAAGTCTTTTATAAATGAAAGATCGTACTTGTTATTTGTTAAACAAAGGTCTTTTTATAAACTTCAGACGATGAAAGTTAAGTTCTTTCCTTTTTTCCTTTCATACATAATGTGCCAAATAAATAAGTATGCTAAATTATGGATACAAATTGCATGCATTCTGGCTGTCAACTTTTCAGTGGAATACATTTCTACAATTTAAAAAAATATAACCACCTTGTCATTGTGTATATTATTATGACATTAATACTCAGTCATAATAATCAAATATATGTGAAAATCACTTGTACTTATAGTCCATTCTATGAACTTCTAGCACAGAAATTGCTGGTTTCAGGGCATTAACTTTTGAGAGGACTGTTGGCTTAGATCCCTATGTGGCATCAAAATGTATTATTATAAAGTATACCAATTTTTGGATTGGGCTACGGCCTCTTTTTCACATTGTCCATAGAACAGACTATATGTCAAGTATATGCTTTCATATGCTTGAATAAAATTTACTTGTTTACATAAAACTCTGCAAAAAATAATATATATATATATATATTAAGACATAAAAGTATTTGGTATAACAATTCAATATTGTACCTTAAATGTGAAATAATAATCCAGAACATTCATATACACAAGATGCTAGTGTATGTAAATTACATGTTAAAATATATACTTGGAGTGAGAATTAACTTAACCCATTAATGCGGGGTAAAAATTAGGCTAGTGGTATTATCGTGGAGTTGTTGCCGTACATCGATAGTTTCCCAGCTCACCCGTTAATGTGCGGGCAACATCAGGCACCTAAAAGCTTATATTTTGATATCATTTTAAAGAAAAACAAAAAAGTGAATGTTTACCTTCCCTTTGGGTGCTTTTGCCAAAAAGTCTTACCACGCAAATGAGGCTGCCACTCTCAGAAATACAAGCTTCATCTGATGAGCTTACAGCCGTGGAATGGTCGTGATGTGATGCACCTGTTACTTGGTCCACAGCAGCCATTGCATCAACGTACATGCCATCCAGCAGCATGGGTTTAAACGAATCACTCAACCAGTAATGAATTTCCTTTAATTTTGTTGAGAGCTTATTGAAAATAATACCTGGAATGAATATTTAATGGGCATGTAGAATCCCTAAACAAAAGCCTGAAAATAATCAAATGATATAAACCCTTACTTATTGTCAAATATCAAAATAACCCATTGGTGACAGAATCTCCACCTGCAAAACTGAGCCACGAGCAAGGGATTGCCTGCAGTCAACCACTCAAATGAAACGTCAGATGCACAGGGAGCATCTGTTTACCTCCCTCTGTGTACTTTAGCTGTGGCATACATGATTTTCTATTATTTGAGATGAATACAAGGCTATAACCCCACATTTGAGTGGCTATAGTTCCTGACCAGCTGCACCTACAACCAAACGAGAACAACTGTTAAGGCTGCACAACTTATAGCTGGCTGACCATGAATTAAGTGTTTCCATATACAAAATGACTGATAAAAAGTATCATGCTAACATCTGTAGGATAATTATGTAGTAATTTTGAAATTACAAGCTGAATATGAAGTTCAATATTTTATATATATTTGTATGTTTTACTAATGTATTAAATTGTTCCACATATTACAACACATAGGTACACATGTATGTTATATCTATTAAGGCTACAACATGTATTCCAGTTGATTTGTATAGTATTACATAAGAAAGTTTCGCACAACCATTGGGTTTAAAACATCAATCAATGTTAAATTATCAATTCTCTTTTTTTATGTGTTACATCATGAAAAATATTTTGATTTGTGCAGAAAATATGAGAGGAAAGGCAAATTCTCTTATTAATTTTTAAAAAATGGACATGACAATAGAAGATATTTCATTGACATTTCTTTTTCTTACCACTTATTTGTTAACTCTACAGATAATATGGCAAAAGATCTCACTATTTCACTTTTTTTTTTTTTTTTTTTTTTTTTTGCCTAAATGTAAATTACTGAGAAAATCAACAGAAAATGATAAAAGCATACTGACAATTTTAAACCTTTTTTTTTCAGAAAAAGTCTGCATAGTACATAGCTCATTTTCAAATTATTTAAAGTGTAATTATACAAACCAGATATGCACAATTTTTTTCTTTCTTTTTTAGGGGGTGTCACTAAATGGTAATTTAACAAAACCTCTCAACATTCCCTTAGTAAATTTATTCAAGCTCAAGATGTCCCTACAAAATGTTATGGGACCATTTTACTTTACCATAGGAAGTGGATTTTTTTTCTATTGGTGTCTGTAGGGAAAAGCATTTGAATTAGATAATGATCAAATATTTTTGAAAGATCGATAATGGCAGATACATACCACACAAAGAAATGAAACAGGAACCAACTAACCTATCTTTATTTGACTTTGAAAAAAGGACCAAAAGTTTTTTTAGAGGTAGTCTCCTCTTATAAAACATGAAATCTTGAAATCATCTCATGAAACACTTTTAAAAAATCAAATTAAATCTTTCTTTTCAAAATATTACATACCAAAATTTGTCTGACAATATTTTTGTATACATTGTTTACATGATGATACAGTGAAGATTGTTAGGAATAGAGTAAACAAATTTGTTATTTTTGCATATTAATTAAATATAAGTGAATTTTATTTATTTGATATACACCCATTCTCTCACTCCCTCCTACCCCACTCACTCACAATACTAAAGAAAACAAGACAAAAACACCTACATTCATTTTCTAGCTCTCCAAAATTATGCTTTCATAAAAATAAAACAACTCAGTTTAATCATATTTATTTTGTGATTAATTTAGCAAAATGAAGTCCACTAGTAAATCCTCACCACAGGTCTTCCTAAGTGTGATAAAACTCCTTGTTCATAAGTTGAAAATGATATGCAGAAAAAGAGGAGTTAATAACTACAACAGGTTGATCTGCCGTGACATTTCATACATATTTTTGTTTTCAGATTGAGTCGACCAATATTCAAACAAGACAAATTAGTGGGCCCACCAAATGCTTTTCTTGTAATTTTAGGCAAAGTCTAGTTATTATACGTAAATGATTATTATATTTTCAACAATGATGATGATGATATTGATTAACCTCAAGCCGCGGGCATGGCATGTACGTATGTGCCTTTGCCCATTGTGTGTGTTGAATTTAGTAATTGTTTTTACATATAGATGGCTCCACAAGTACCAAGTCACCAATGAGCTAGTTACGAGAACTACCTGTCTCACCTGTTTACCTTTTTCCTTGATTTCAATATTTTTTAATATTTAGTACTGCTGTTAGTAATGTCAGTAACAATATAGTAATTATAAAGTGTATAACAAAAATAACAGTGTCAATATTGACAGCATCAGTATAAAAAAAAAACATTTTCCCGCTTTTTCAAGGAAAAATGAGGTCGCAAGATCTACTAATTGACTCCTTTGTGGTTAAGCATTGGCAGAGCCATCTATTTGCAGAAATATTTAACCAAGCATTGCCAAAGGGAACGCATTTTCCTGTTGACATTGAGTTAAAACTAACAATATTGATATGGTAGTAATAACAACAATAACAACATTAATGATAAAATTCTCAAATGATGGAGAGATTTCATCAATTCCAAATCCTTGTATAATTGGAGCAGACACATTTCCTTTAGCTGTTTTTAAAAGGAAATAGCACAAAAAAAAGAATATTGATTGGGAGTGTGCAACCAATGTCATCAATGGTCCACTAATAAACACTAATGTTTTGTAAAACTGTATTCCTGTTACATGAGATTATATATGGAAATAACTGTATCTTACTTATCTAAGAAGAAATGGTAAACTACAACTATCTAATAATCAGAAACTAAAGTTTTAAATACCACCAACCTTTGTAACTGACATAATGAAAATCTGTCCTTGACTTCTGAGTCCTCAGTGTAGAGAATATGTTCGGCATCTTTCTGTTCTCATGGAAAAAAACATGCCTGTCAATATATTAAAGAAATGCATTAAAAGGGAAAGCATGAATGGCAGTTTACATACAAATAAAGTATTTGTAAGACTCAAGAAAAACAGGACAGAGAGATAGTCCCTCTCACTCACCCTCCAAGGATAGAACATTAATACCTTCACTGACCACCATGATGACAAATGAAAGACCTGGATTTGTACAAGTCTCAGTCTCAGTCTGACACTCATATTCAGAGACATTTCAGAAACCTTCAGCAGAGCGCCAGACCAATATCTAGCACCCATAAGCCAATCACCAACAGGCTGTTTTATGTCACAGCTGCTGGTCCAGCTCTTTGTATAAGGTGTCAGAAGTGTCTAAATATAAGCGAGTCACATATTCAGAGACACTTCAGACAGCCAAACTGGCATCTCACACCCATCAGCCAATCACTGTCAAGGTGCCTAGCATTGCAGCCAATCAGAGCCTTGGTGTTGACAGACCTCCACTGGAAAAGGTGTAAGAAGTGTGTCTGGATATGAGCCTGTCTCAGTCTCACACCCATATTGTGAGACACTTCCAACACCTTAAACAAAAAGCCAGCTCTTTGTTTAAGGTGTCCAATGGTGGTTAATGGTTGAAACAAATAAAAGTGCTAGGCATCCATGGTCATATAGCACTATGGTAAAGTATTGTGATGAAAAGGGTAAATCAGTTAACAGTTAGTATAAAGAGTGTTAAATGTCAAATGTTATAGTGCTATAGGAAAAAGGGTAAAGAGGGGGTGCAAATGCAGGAAAAAGGGTAAAGAGGGGGTGCAAATGCAGGAAAAAGGGTAAAGAGGGGGTGCAAATGCAGTAAAGCAGAGATTAAAAAAGGAAAGGGTTAATGGTATATGGCAATTGGATGGAATGGGGTATATCTGTTGGGGAAACAATAATAACATTGCTTTCAGGTAAAAACGGCAAAAGAGCTGTTATGAAATAACCAACAGGTAATACAGGTAGAGCTGACTGTTGGAGAAGTAGCAGAAGAGTCTGGGCGATGAGATAAGGGGACTGGGAAAGGAGGTGAAATATAAGGAGCGTCAGGAGGGAAAGAATCCAGAGAAGGACACTGTAGTGACAAAAGGGATTCAATTGAGCATCTAGGTGGGAGAGGTAAGGATAATGGAGAACGAAAAGGGAATGGTGTACATGGAGGAGAGGATGGGGTTTGTTGGGAATGAGTAGGAGGAAGAGGGGTAGGGGGAACTGCAGGAATGGTGGATGGATATCAGCAAATACTTTGAATGTAGAGGGACTAGGAATAGAGGGATTAGAAGGTGGATGAGGGAGTGGAACATTTTCATGGGAATTTTTGGGTCTTCAAGAGTTTATGGAGAGGATTTGGGTAGGTCTGAGAAGTACAGGATCTCTTGTGAGTAGAAGGGTAGATTGATTTTCGAGGAGCAGAGGAAAAGGAGGGTGTGGCAGGTGAAGATGGAGTAGAATGTCTAGGTTGTCTGGTGCAACATATAAAGTGAAGGGGAGGAAGAATAGGTATCAGAGATGTTGTAGAGATTGGAGTATCTGGATTTAGAATGGAAAACAAATTTGACTGGGACAGGGAGAGCAGAGGAAGGATGGTTCAGGGTAGATGGAAGAGGCCGAGTTTGAATCTGAGAACTGCTAGGGAAATACAGACTAACATAAAAATAATGCCATTTTTGAATATCAAATAATACTTAACCAACCTTGGCAACACTCAAAAAATCTCATACCACTAAGCTGTTTGTCAAAGGAACATAAAACCAATTTGTATTTATATAACATTTTATTGTGCAATCATTTCCTTAATTACAGATTTAAATCACAAGTTTGAAAATGTACATCTGGCAACTTGGGCAACAGCTGACTGGGACAAAAAACAGGTAAATGTTGCATCCATTGATAACTAACAAAATGAGCACAGCTTGATAAAACTATAATTCATTCATTTAAGCAAAGGATTTCAGTATATTTTGACTTGGTTCACATATATATAACCCAATTACTTATCAAATAGAAACAGAAAAGCTATAGGTCTATGTACAAGCTGTATTTTACACCCATACAACAAAAAATATATATATATTATCAAGAAAAAACTGGCTAAAATTATTTTTTCTTTCTTGGTTATTTTCTTGACAAATGTTTCCGTTTCCCTCGAAGCTTTAAACGTCACTTACATTCCCCTTAATCTTATGAGCGTCTTCCTTCTCTTATTACAAAAGAAGAAAAATGACTAAACCTGCCCTGTACCTCCCAATATATAAAAAAAAAAGATAATCCTATTACCTGCTGTTTGGGAGATCTGACATCTGTAAACGATGTCACACATTCCCCACAAATTAAAAATAGTAACAAAAAAGTGTGTGTTTGTGTTTGTTTGTTTTTGTGGGAGTGTGAGTGTGTGTGAGAGTGTGTCTGTGTGTCTGTGTGTGTACTTGCGCGCAAGTACATGTAGGTATTTGGGCATGTGCGTGTGGGAGTGTGCGTGTGAGAGTGTGCTTGTACGTGCACTTGGATGAATGATAATGTGACATTCTAAGCCCAAAACATGAAAGACGAGCATCTCATTCCAGTATGAAAATTCATACCCTACTTCAACATGTTGACACACACAAATGCATTCACACTAAGTATATATGGTTAATATACGCCCAATGCAAGCCCACCAAGGACAGACAAGGCGTTACTGTGATATATAATGAAGTTGAGCAGGGACAATGTAATCATCAATTTCCAATGCTAGTTAGTAATTCAAAATATAAAAAGGGAATAGAGTAAATAAAATATATATTTCTGGATATACACAGGTTCACAGGTTAATAATAATAATAAAGAGTACATAGGTCTCATGGACTAGGTGTAATGCTACCCACATTTTATTTTAAGGCAAGTAAAATTGACAAATTAATTCACATGCAAATGAAATAGCTGCTTATATCTTTTTTTTCTTTTTCCTTACAGTCCAATATAAAATGTATATTTTTGAAGAGGCAATGACACAGATCTTTGATGCTTTCATTTCCAAAATATCTCTATATTTTCTGCTAACGATCCCATAAACAAAGGGTGGGTGGGGGAAGGCTGGAATCTTTTTCTTCCTTTCATATATATAGAATGTCTATAAGCACCTACAAATCCACTGATATACCTTATCACTATATAGGACTTTGACGATCTTGTCTACAGATAAATGGTTACCATCAATATGCTTATTTTTCTTGATTCTGTCTTCACACTAAAGCAGCAGTCTACCACATTGAACATCAAGTTATAATCTGCAAGCCAGACTTGGAAACTTTTTAAGTTGCTTCGTTATCTCCTGGACCGACAGAGACCAAGCACTGTGAAAACAATTTTCCTCCTTTTTTCTGCTTTTACCATGTACCAGTGATACACAAAATCAATGATTACAGAAATTCGAGAAAGACCGATTGTAGATTTCGAAAGCCTTCTTGTAATATATATTGCAATTATTCAAGGGGGCACTTATATTTTTTTCTGTTCTGTAGAAAAAGAGATACTATTTGTCCATGTTCATTTCTGAATCATCATTGCTACTATAATTATCACTGTTTCTATTCCCCCCTCTCTTTCCATGTCAATTACATGAGGACATACATGACAAGACAAGATAAATAAATAAACATATTAATTGTGGTCTCATTTTCATGTCCTATCAACTGTTAAACATTACCTTCTTCAATAAATACTGTCTCTTCATCAATATTACTAATTATTCTTACTGTCCTTTCTTTTTCATAGACACTGGTCTTAATGCTTCCACAGAAGACCAGCAGATCAATAAATTCAATAGATTCCAATTAAAAACCACCAAGATACTTAACATTAACAAAAGATTCACAGATCTGAAACCCCCTAGACTGTACTAAATGGAATGGAAACTTTCATATATTCATTCTTGAAATCTACAATGTACTTCAACTTCAGGAACAAATTACAAACTTTGTATTTCAGTAACATTTAATCTTTGCAGCAATTTCCAACACAAGGTTATACAACAAAAAACTGAATAATAATTATGATAAGAGGGTGGAGCTGTTATCATTAATATTGTTAGAGGAAATAGAAGTATAGTGTGAAATACTGGAGGTGAAAACATGTAAAAAAAAAAAAAAAAAGAGAAAGAAAGTAAGAGAGAGAGAGAGAGAACATTAATTTCCTATAAAATATTTTCTCTACCAATAAATTCCTTGACTAGTTGGACAGTCATTTTCATTATCTTTTTTTCCTCTCTTTTTATTTTACCTTTTTTTATTTTTTGTTTTTCAAAACCCTTCCAGCACTGCTAGAGGGCATAACACACCCCATATCTGGTTCGAACACCTGACCTCCCCGACAATGATTTCTCAGGTCACGGAAGGAAACCTTGCCTGGGATAATCTCGTCACATAATTATTGCCACAAATGCACTGATTCATTCAGCAAAACTTTTATTTTACCTCATTCATATTCTCTTAAGAACTGTCACCCTACATGATATAAAATATGCAAAAACACAACTATTATTAAATCCATACAAAAAGCTACTTAAATTGGACAGTACATGAAAATTTTCCTTTTTTAAAAAACAAAAGTGATCTTTCGAGGAAGATCGAGACCCTAAATGACTAAGGCTCCTTGATGACTCCAAACCTAATACAGAAATCTAAGTCTTATGCTCAAGTGGTCTGCAAGCCTTGATGATGGTGATATGGGCACTTCTCCAACGGAATTAACGAACCCTGAGGGACCAACACAAAGACATCGACGATGCCTCTTAGAAACACACTAATCCATTCATCACAAATGTGTTTTTAAAATGAGTTTCCTCCCTTTTCCTCCCCTGTCTATCATTAATACAATCTATCTTTTCACTGTTTTTCAATCACCTTGTATCTATCTACCTGTTTGGTCTTTCTTCTCCTCCTCGTTCACCCCTATCCAACCAATCCAATATGGTTATCAATCACATATATATATATATACTTCATTTCTACATTCCGCAAAACATCTTTATACATAAAAAAAAGAAAAAAAACAAAGAAAAATTGCACTTTCCTTTTATATTTTAACATCCTAAACATTTAATAACATAAAAGAAAATGACTATTTAACATTTTTCTTTAGATACTGGAGGAACTCAACATACGAGTGGCAGCCCTCAGATCGGTCATCAACGAGCCGCTGGATGAAGAGCATACGCGCTGGGTTGTCCTCTCTGCAAGAAACGGCATAAAAATTAATTAGATTACAAAAGGGAAGGACGAGGAATGAAGAAGATTAGGAGTGAGGAGAGAAAGAAAGAAGGAAGTGAAGGTGGGAAGGAGGAAAGGAGAGAAGAAAGAGGAGGGATGAGGGTAGAGGGAAAAGGGAGGAAGGAGAGAGAAGGAAGAAGGAAGTAGGGAGGAGGAAGGGAAGAGGGAAAAGAAGGAGAGGATGAGGAGATAGAGAAGAGGAGGCAGAGGAGGCAGAGGAGATGGGGGTGGAGGTAGAGGAGGAGGAGGAAAATCTTCAACTATCTCTCATAAACCCAATGCCTTCCCTTCTCATTTCACTTAACTTTTATTGATGAAAAAAACGTCCACTCACTTGAGGATCAACACAGGTGCAGGGTAGGGCTTCCCCCTCTGAAGGTGCGAGATGAAGTTATGGAGGAGATGCGACTGGCTAGTGTCTAGCACAGGAAGAGCATCATCATAGAGTGGCTGTGGAATGGCTGCATAGCTTGGGACGCCAAGGGTTGCTTCCACCCACTCTGAGGATACCATAGACCGCACATAGATGTAAATGCTGCTTCCTGCATCCATCAGATAGGCTCCGGTTCGATCTAGACGTTCAGCAGTTAGGTGCAGGCGTCCAGGCTGAGGTATCACCTGACAAGATGCATAATCAAATGATGAATAACATCATAAATAAATAAATTCATTAATATAAAGCACCATAAAACAGATTTAAGGAAAGTTTGAACTCAGATCACACTTTCTATGAATCAGTACTGACTTATGTGATGTCATGCCATAGGTACAAGGCTTCTGTCTACTACTGTAAACATCTCCACCATAAAAGCATAATAAGAATTCCTTTGCTTATTTACTCTCAATTTACTTACATGATATTACCCTAAAATGCCATTATATGACCTGAAATAACACACCTGATCATCAATGTTGAGGGCACCTTTATCGGACATGTATGATCGCATAAAGGTCTGGATACAACTTGGTCATGAGGTGCCGCAATGGCAGCGACTTCAGCTCGCACATCTCATACAGCCGATCGTCCAGCTTTGTGCTTGTCCCTGACCGCAAAGCAATCTGAGACGAGGAAAATGGAAATGAAGGGAATTAGAAAAAAATCATAAGCGTGTAGAGAACCTGAAACTATAATGCTCTCCAAAAAATTAAATAGTTGGCACTTGTGAGAAGTGGCTATATGATTCTCCAAAAATCAACTCGCCAAACTGAAGGAATCTAGTTCTTACCGATTTAAATAGTGCTAACGTGAAGAGTGGCAGGAGGCTCAGGTTGGGCAAACTTCCAGGGCCCCATGCGCTGGGCTGGAGAGCCCCATCTTGAAGGCAGTGAGGGCATCAACGCAGCATTGACCAGGGCATCACGGGCATCTGAGAGGGAAGAAGTAAGGGAACGATCCACTGCCATCTTGGCCAGCAAGCCAATCACTGCCTGTTGGTCACCTGATGTCACAACCTCATGGATGTTCGGAGTGACTGGCAGGCACAGCGTGTGCACCCGGATGCGTCTCTCACCTGGAAGATTTTTTAAAGGTTTTAATGCCACTCAGTATCAGCCCATTTGTTCATAATAAGCATTACAGTAGTTATTCTAAATAACTGATTTTGAAAAATAAAAAACAATAAAAGCAATGAAAAATAAATACATATGTGACAAAAGCATTACCAAACTTGGGTAATACTTTTTATAATCATTGAATACTGAGAACCCACCTCACCTCCACCCTCCTCCCCTCCTCCCCTCAACCTGTTCCACCACTGAGCACCCTTACCTCTACTAGATGTGTAGAGGAGAGCCGCCTGGAAGCAAGCAGTACGGATGTTGTGGAGTGGCTCTTCGATGTTGACTTGCATACCAAAGCCAGCATCTGGGTTGATGTTGGGCAGGGAAAGCAAATCCGTAGACCGCACAAAGAAGTTACCGTGGAAATTTGTGATGGCTAGTCCCCGCGTCGCTCTGTGAATTGGATAAACAGGAACGTCATATAGAAGTCTCGTACCAAACGAAATATACACAAATATTCCGACACTAAGAAAAATCCATGCAAATTTTTACACTTTCAACAGACCCATACACTACCTCCATCCCCCAACTGCTTAAAAAAAAAATTCTAAAAAATAAAATGCACCTGATTCTCATAACAGCCTCAAAGCCAATCTTGCGGGTGACGTAGCGTGTGAGGCATGCTGTGAAGGGACCGACAGAGGGAGGGTTCCTGGCCACATGGAATCCAGGGAAGTGGTGGATGCAGCCACCTGAGAACTTGCTGATCCCTGTTAACGTAGCCATGTCAACGTACTGTGAATTCAGGGCAAACAGATCCACTGCAATCTGGAGGAGGACATTCACATTGCATTAACACTATATATATCTACAAGTGTATCAATAGATATAAATATAATAAATATATGAAAATTTACATGTACATGTGTATGTATGTAAATGTAAAAAAAATGTATATAAATATATATATATATATATATATATATATATATATATATATATATATATATATATATATATATATATATATAATAATATTATATATATAAATATATATATATATATATATATATATATTATATATATATATATATATAAATATATAATATATATATATATATATATATATATATATATATATATATATATATATATATATATATATATAATATTATATATATATATATATATATATATATATATATATATAATATTATAATATATATATACATATGCATATGTGTACCAATATATTATCATATGCAGATGCATGTACATATCCATATGTTTATGTTATTAGTTATTTATATATATTATATATATGTATATGTAAATATATTATATACATATGATAAATATGCATATACATATGTATATAACCCTATCCTTCAACTATGGTAATTAGTTGCTTTCTTGTGCACAATAGAGGAATTTCACTATAGCAATTTTAATAATTTATGGCAACATTTCTAAAAAACATATTTTGTTCAGATTTACCCATGAACATGATGGAATGAATAAGAATTAATAACTTCACAACACAAGAGATGTATCTGATGCATTCCATTTATATCATCTTAGGAAATAAATGCATCAGCAACATTACAAACCATAATTATTTACAAATATTAAACATGAGCTGAAAATTCACCTGACATCCATGACTTTTTCCCTTCCTCCCTTCTTAGCTGAAACAAAGGAGGGATGAAGGGAGACAGAATCAGATAAACAGACAGAGAGAGAGGCAGGCAAGCAGGCAGATGATGTGATGTCACAAAGCTCAGTAAGTGACATGTAAAGAAGTGAAGTCAGTACATTAGGCTATGATATGACTGATTATGTTATGTGACATGTGATCCAGTTTCCTTTGACCTCATTGGTAATTGTTCATTCCATGTTCCCAGCCAGGTCAAAGCAAAGGAGTTTTCCCGTGTATATAGGGGTGCTTGCACTTCTTCATTACTCACTATTGTATTGCCTTGCTTTACAAGCATTCACAGCCATTCTTCCTCTGAGGTCAATGACCCCTAGCCATTGACATCAACAGCATCTCCGGCCAAGGGGCCATCACACCGATTTATACTTTTTCCCCCAGTCCCCCCTTTTTTCAACTACCACCCTGAGAAGAACAATGGTTGCTGACAAGGCTGGTAGATGTTGTCAACATTGAGTTCACTGCTTCCAGCTTCAAGGATGAACTGGACTTCCTGTCCCAAGTTAATTACACACTCAACAGCAACAAGACACTGTGTAACATGACAGTTAAGGTGTGAAAGAGGAACTCTCCCAGGACCTAGTCTTTTATCTGGTAACGAAAAGATAATGTCCCCAAGTGTTTTAGGTTTGCTGGCCAACCTGGGGTCATAGCTGACCTGGAAGTGTCGAGCAAAGACCTAGAGATTTTTGGGTGTTTTTTCACCAACTATCTCCTTGACTACATCATGAGGGAGACCAACTGATAAGTTTCAGAGTCCTTTATCTTTTGTTTTCAATAACTGTATTCAGATTAAAGAAATATTTCCTCTCTTTAACAATCAGAATATATTTCTAGCTTTTTTTTCATTCCTACAAGTATATGGTCCACTATCCATACAGCTACAATGAATGGGGAGAATCCATCAGTGTTAAACTGATTACATGTGCATTTAAGGTGTTGACATTGGTGATCAGATGGCAAACTACCACCCAATGCTTAACAGGTCCAATTTATGGTAAAGGAAGATCTTCCTATTTTATCTTTTCTACCTAGCAGCCATCAACTCCTTAGCCATCCATCATGCTTTAGGCAGGACACCCATAAGGTATTGGGAGTGGCCCACCCTAGACCTTCTGGTTTACTTTGGGTACAGAGCCAACTCCATGAGGACCCAAGCAGCAGTGCACCCACCTGTTGCAGAAGTGGACTTTGCAACAGCAATGGCACTCTTGTCACCAAGGTCCCTGACAGCATGAGGTGTGCCATTGGCATTTGAGGCAGGTCAGTAGGAAGAACACCAGAACCTACTGCCCTGATTGTAATGTGGGCCTGAACATTACCTACAGGTGCTTCGGGACTTGGCATGCAGCAGAGAAACAAAAAAATTGGTCTCTTTTGTAAAAACTCTGACACCTTCAAAATATCTTGGCAATAGTGCCAAGTAAAGTGACAGGTAGTCAAATGAGAGATTGTCTGGGGTTTCTTTATTCTATCAGCCATTATTCACATTGAGAAATAGTAATCCTTCACCAATAACACAATTACGCACATCCTGCAAAGAACTGTACCACTTGCTCATTGGTGAGAACAAGATCATTGCCAAATGTCTGCCAAATAATGACCACTAATTCAATCATTTGGCATATATCCCACATTATTTGAATTCATGTGATTCACCAAATCTTGTGTGTGACAGCCTACTTTGGTGTAATAGCAGATGTATGTCAACTATTGAGGTCTGTAATTATAATGATTTGTGATAACAAAACACAGCATGTGCATATGTATATGAATGTGAATATTTGTTTATTATATGTTTATGTTTACATGTATATGTACATAAGCAGTCCACAGAAAAACACATGTATGCATAGACACACTACAACTAAAATCTATTAATGAAGATTCAGTTCATGTCTTCCTACAAAAATCCACTGAAAGAAAATTGAGGAAAAAAAAAACTTCCAGTATGCTTCATTATCTACCTGTTGGCCAGAGCAGTCAAGGGAAAGCTTTTTGTAGAAGTCAGTTGCTGGCCCCATGTTCTGGACATCACTCCCTGCCCTCTGGTTGGGGTCTTCTCGTGACTGAAGTGCACCTGGGCCAACTGAGGGTAGTGTTGTCGTCATAACTGTGATGCGACCACCTATGGGGCTCTGTCAGAGAGGAGGAAAAAGATTTGCTATACAAATTCTGGACATATAACTCAAAATAGTATCTGAGGCAATGTTATTATACAAGAGTATATAACCTCACACAAATGACAGACAAAAGAACTAAAAAAAAAAGTGAGAGGAGGAAGGACTAATAAACAGGAGAAAACAAACACAATAATAAATACACAGACAAAAACCTTACCATTAGTTTGTAAGCTGCTTGAAGGGCTGGGCCAAGTGCCGATTGTGTCTGGACGGTCCCACCCTGCGACTCGGGCAGCTTTGATAACAATTCCTCTATTAATGTGCGGCTTTGCTCCAGGTTGACAAGAAGGTCTTCAGGTTCGGCACAAACATATCAGACACCTCCCCAACCTCTAGGATCTGTACACTCTTTTGGTCTGGAGGAACAAGGTACATTTATGTTTTACAAATTGCATTCAATGTCTTCTACTCAATTTAGGACACAAACAGAGATATGTGAATGAACTATAAAAAATAATAATAATAAAATAATCATGTACACACATATCTGAAACAAATATATGCACCGAAATATAATACTCCCATCTCGCAAAATTAACAAAATTTCTTACCTTCACCCATCAGATAAAACTGGACATTGTTGGAGAAGGTGATAAAGCCGATCATGGTTCGCCTGTCCCCAGGGATCTTGTCCAGCTGTGCAAGCAAGGTGTCGCATACAATCTGAAAATGTAATCAATTGGTTTTAATTTAAGCTTCAAAGATATACTCTTCACAGCTTAAACATATCTGGATGAGTTGCATAACTAATGATGACCTTATATTTACTATGAATTTATATGAATGTTCAAATACCAACTGACAATAGCCATGTTCTATTCCTATTCTGATTTTCAATATTCATTGATGCAATAGGTACTTCTACTTATTCAAGCAACAGGCTAAAATCCCTATATGTGAAATACTCAAAGATACTTCCTCCTGCCAATAGTACATGGGAATGTCATATATATATAATATATATATATAATATATATATATATATATATATATATATATATTATATATATATATATAATATATATATATACATATATATATATCTATAAGTATGTTGGATGAGTTCAGTAATCTAACTATTTGTTACAGTTCTAGACAATTAAAAACTTATTTGTTTCATCTTTTGATTTACATAATGCATTTTGACAGTTGAAATTACCTTTTATAAAAAGAGGTTGACCTAAATATTGAGACTAGATAGATAAAAATACTTCAGGTATAGTCTTGTCACCGCTCACTAGTGTTCGCACATGCCCGGCCTATGCCCCACATGCCCAGGAGATGGCTACTTGTGTAACCCACTGAGGTATTTTTCATGACGCAACCAGATCCAACAGGTTAACCCCTTGGATCCTGATGATGTTGCGATCACATCAAGGAAAAACTTGGGTGACGTGAACAAAGCGTCAGAGCGAAGGCCAGGGTGACAAAAAGACTCGCCATGAGTGCACAAACCTCTTGGAGTGTGATTTGACTCATTTGGCGCTTAGAAGGGGGCTTTAGCATTATTCCCATCGATAAATGAATATGGAAAGTAAACTCTGACAGGCTGTTTCTCCTCTATGATTGCAGCCAGGAACAAAAACTGAACAACTGTTATCCATGCGCAACTACAAACAGGCTCAAACGAGCATAATAAGATGGGAAACCTTTTTAGTATGAGTGTTGGTTTTGCCAGGACATCAACCATGATGAGTGGATTAACAGTCTTACCTTATCAAGACATAATATCTTCCTTAATAAAAACAAGACATGACATGCTAAAACCCACAATAATACAAGACTACAAGCTTCTCAAATTTCAAAATACACAAAGGCTTTCATACCTTAAGATAACCAGTGTCAACAGCTTGTCGAGACACGTCCAACACCCAGAGGTAAGTGGCTGGCTGTGGCGGTCGCAGCATGTACTCCTGTGGGGCAATGAACTCTATCGTGGCCTCCTTAACCTCTGGCCGTCTTGATGGGTCTCCATATGTCCTGCTGACCTGGTTTTGTAATGGAACAGGTAGAATTATATATCGTCACACAATTTAAGAAAAATTACATCAATGCAACTTTTCTACATTTTTCCTACAATATATTTACAATAATCTTTTCAATAACATCTGACAAATCAATAATGAATAACAAGTATCATTTTGAATCAGTCTTTTTCATTTAAACATTTCAAAGCAAAGTCTCCTTACTGGGTCATACTGGAATTCCTCTGGTAGATCATTAACCCTAAAACAAAGGTTGCACTCCCATCTTCGTCCCCTTTGAACACAACAAAGGGATTAATGTACGTGCGACATGATCTACACCGCACTATTGTGTTACAGCTTACAACAGGCAGATGCTGGAAAGAAGATTAGGTATCGATTAATAAGTAATAGACAAAATCTCTCTCTCCTTTTGCATCTTATTTCCAATGTTCAATATCTTTTCTCTCTCTCTCTCGCTCCTCTCTCTCTCAAAAATATACTAAAAAAAGGAGAGCACATTAAGGACATTTGAGATAATGATTATGACATTACTACCAAGCCTAACACCAAATCAAAGCATTAACAAGTACAAATGCTCATCAAAAATAATTACTCCTTCACCATGAAAGCCCTTAATCAAAGCATGCCTATTATTGCTGATGTTTTTAATAAGAAAACAAGAAGCATAGAATTTTCACAAAAAAATGTTAATTGCTGTTGACAAAGCAATAATAACAATAAAACTACTAACAAGTTGATGATGTGACGGTATGTGATCATACGAATCCAGTCCATCACTCATCTTACCTCTAAGTCCTTGAACGGATGAATGAGTATCCCAAAGGGTAGCCGTGACTTTTGCAGCACTGACTTCGTCTCTGGAACCTTTGTTAGCGTACACCGGAAGATGTCTGGTGAACAATTAGGCAAATACTCTTGAACCAATACTGGCTTTGGAGGCACCACGCCCTCCGGGGGTAGGATCTGTCGTTGCTGCAGAAGGTCCAACTGCTGTGTCCCCCAGCCTTTGTTCCAGCCTTCTCGTGTTACTGACAGACCACCCAGCTGCTGTGATAACTGGTTCACACCAGGTGGTGCTCCTGGCCTGGGGGGAGGGGGATATTTCTGTGTTGGTTGTGGCTGGTTAGGATACCGGGGCATGGTCCCTTGCATAGCATTGTGTTGGGATTGGTTTGGCATTCTGGGAGGTTGCTGATAGCCCATAGGTGGAGCACCCATTGAAGTGGGTGGAGGACCCATTGATGGAGGCGCACCCATAGATGATGGTGGAGGCCCATAGATGGGGGTGCACCATTGACATTGGTGGAGGGCCCATAGATGTAGGTGGAGGCCCCATAGATGGGGGTGCACCCATAGACGTAGGTGGAGGGCCCATTGAAGGTGGCACACCCATTGATGTTGGTGGTGCTCCCATTGATGTTGGTGGTGCCCCCATTGATGTTGGTGGTGCCCCCATTGATGTGGTGGTGCTCCATTGATGTTGGTGCTCCCATTGATGTTGGTGGTGCTCCCATTGATGTTGGTGGTGCTCCCATTGATGTTGGTGGTGCTCCCATTGATGTTGGCGGTGCTCCCATTGATGTTGGCGGTGCTCCCATTGATGTTGGCGGTGCTCCCATTGATGTTGGTGGTGCACCCATTGATGTTGGTGGTGCACCCATTGATGTTGGTGGAGCACCCATTGATGTTGGCGGGGCACCTACTGACATGGGTGGAGGACCAACTGTTTTAGGAGGACCCATTCCAGATGGCGGAGGACCTACACCCATTGACATTGGTGGGCGTTGGCCCATTGATCCTGGAAATGAACTAACGCCCATTGATGTTGGTGGTTGTCCCATGGAAGCAGGTAAAGAACCCATTGACATAGGCGATTGTGGTCCCCTTGGCATCATAGTAGGGCCTGATGGTCTGGAGGGTTGGGCTAACGACCCTGCAGGGGCATACGCATTATTATGTTGTGGCACAAACTGTCCTGGGACATGGGCTGTCCACTACCAAACATGGGACTTCTAACTGGAGGACCATTAAACTGAGGAGCACTAGTGGGCACACTGGAAACTGAAGGAGCTGTGGTTGATGGTGGGCCACTGGAAGGAGGAACACTCTGACCACCAATCACTGGGGGCCTGACAAGAGATGGCGCACTCGTTTCTGGTTTCAGAGAGGGGTTGCTGTTGACCGGTGGTGGCACTGCACTGGAGGTGGGAGGAGGAATACTTTTTGGCAACTCTGATCCATGCACATCAGTCTGCGGTCCATTCATCACTTGAGCACCACTTGGAAGCTGAGGCTTCACAGTTCTGTCCAAGGACACACTGTTAACATAGGAACCACTGGCAGCTTCTTCACTAGATGCAGGTTGGGAGGAGGGAGGCACATTGGCGGGAGCACTACTAGTAGGGGCAGCTGTACCCCCACTCCCTGGGATGCTGGGAGAGGGCATCCTAGGGTGCTCTTCCCTGAACTCCCCGCAGACTTTGGGTTTAGCAAGCCCATGCTAGATGCTTCACTCAGATTCGTCATGGATCCACTGGGTGCTGTAAAAAACAATTTGAATTACAGAAGTGTTTTCAACTAGTCTCTTATCTCTACTTTGACTTCCTACAAAATAATAAGAGAACCCTGACAAGTATGGCACATCTGCAGGAGCAGAAAAGCACACACAAGCTAAGACAAGCCACTTACTGTGGCCCGAGTCAGGCGTGGCCTGCATCTCCATGCGGTCAAGCTGAGGAGTAGGGATGGGGGAAGGCTGGCGAGAGGACCGGTTAGATGATCGGTTAGAGAGTGGCTCTGTGGACATCCAAACATATGCCCAACAAGGTTAGTACACTACTAGGTTGACACAACATGCAAACACCACATCCAAAAGTACTCTTCACATATACAACTTAATAAAAACTACCTTCTTGCAAGCCAAAGTAATTTATGTAAGGCATTGGAAGATAAGAGTACTTCTACAAGTGATAGCCCATAGATGAAGCTCAGTTCTGCCACAAGGAAGATTAAGAAAAAGAGCTAACAACCCAAGGGCTTCTACACTACTAACAAACAGTCTTGCTAGGAACTTCTTTTTGCATGCAAACTTAAAATATAATTCTATTAATGATTCATTTCCAGAGTATCATCAAAAATAGCCTTGGTTAATACTTGTTAGTTTCTATGTAGCAAGTAGTCTCTACAGAAAGAAAGCTTTGCTATCTTACATTGCACATTCATGCATAACAAAGCAAAGAGAGAAAAGAAATAGAATATTTATGCACACCTAACACTACAGGTACACTTACACTTACTCTTACCAAGTGGGAGGAGGGGGACTTAGTCTTATACTTCACTAATACCCATAGATAATCCGTCTCTCTTAAAACAGTGCCTAAGCATCCACACACATCTTCAGAACATGAGAGATGAACACTAACTACTTGGGGCCAGAAAGGTTAGAATACCTTGTACATGTTCTTACCTGGGAGACTGTGGGCGGTGAAGGCCTTTGGTGTCCATTCAACAAAGGACTGGGGGGTCCCAGAGGCCACCAGGTTGGGCCTAGTGGACAGCTTGGCAGCTGGGCCAGAGGGAGGCACATTGGGCATAGGGGGTTGACCCATAGGTCTCTGTGGGGGTCCAAGTGGCGGCTGGGTAGGGGGACCCAGGGGCGGCCGGGTGGGAGGTCCCGCCGGAGGTCCCATAGGGGGTCCTAGAGGAGGAGGACCCATCTGGCCATTGACGAGTGGTGCCTTGCAGGTGGGGCTGAGGGTGGGCCGTTCATGAGAGGCCCATTGAGTCTTGGGAGGCCTACTGGGGGTGCCATGCCTGGCCCAGGAGGCTTCATGCCCATGGGAGGCCCTGCTGGAGGGCGGTGGGGAACCGGTGAGGCTGTGGTTGCCTCGGTCCCCCACCATTTATCACTGGTGGTGGTTGCTGCATCCTAGAATAATGGGAAAATTACTAAGTGATATTCTTAAATACTTATTCAGTACTTCACAGCACACAATAAAAATATCCTAAAAATTCTTGGTTTAATTTAAAGATTCTGAAACTAATTCCTTCCAGAACTTTAAACATGTAACAATCTCACAATATCGCATTCACATCTGCTTTTTCCGTGTACCTTTTAAATAAATAAATAAAAAATCACAGAATCTTAGGTAATAACAGATAAAGATTTCTTCTATC